AACTTAGTTAATCATGGGACAATTGTTATTTTTGTGTATCATACCCTCATATGAAGACTTTTCGACTTGAATCAACCATTTTAATCACATTCAATGCATGAGACATCAGGGCCAGTGTTCTTTGTCTTCTACATGATGTGGGAGCAGAAGACGTGCCAGGGTGCCTCTGTTAACACCACGAGTTGGTCAGTCAGTCGATGTCGGTCGACCGGCTGATCGGTTGAACTCTCTGCCTTCGGGCGGGGAGGAACCCGAACGAGGCTACGCCGAAGGGCGGATTCTCTTTCGGGGAGGTAAACCGACCCTGAACCCGTTTATACGGGTTCAATGGGCATATTTTTGGCTGAGCCCACGGGCTCGGAGATCCCACGTTAAACCGGCCTTGTGCCACATGATGCCCTCGTGTGTGTTAACACCACGAAACCGGATGTAACGTCTCACCTGTAACATCGTTAATTGCATTCAGGAGGGACTGGTAACGAGTGGCGTGATCCATTGAGTCACGGTTCCGATTGTTCCGGTCTGTTGTAATGTTTGGGTGTAGTACAAACTATTTATGGTCATAGGCCCCAGGTTACATTAAGGCACCGCGTAATCTGGTGATGGTTTTATAATGGTGTAAGGTGTGTTCAAATGGCATGGGATGGATCGACTGATGTGTTTAAAAACGTCATTTTCGAATAAAGCCAACCAGCCTTCATAAAAGTCAACCATTCTTAATAAGAAATTTCTTATTGCTTAAATGCCACCCATTAATTAATGAGGCCCTGAGAGAAAAACAGATGTTTCCGCTTCAACAGCCAACTGACCGACTCAAATAAATACCAAGGAATAATAGTTGAAGTTACTTTTATTTGTTTCACCTTAAGTTATATAAATATTTATGCGCTTTCGTCTACAAGAATGAAATATGAAACAAAACCTTTTCTATAGTGGGGACTCCAAACACTCGTGAGATTAGTGACAAACATCCCGCCAACAACTGTTAGAATAACAAAATAAACCAGAAATGACTGACCTTGGAACACATAATGCCTTAGTGACTAATATATATATAAATAGTCGTGCTAATATCCAACCGAAAATTGATGAGATATTGAGACCAGTCTAGTATTGTGCTTAAATTCATAAAGTCTAGGTACCATCGCGAAGAGATCATCCAAACAATTATCATGAAAGTATTTATAGAAAAGACACGGAAAGGCAACCTTATGGCAGTGGGTAAGTGACTGAAGCCCATCCGCCAGATCAGGACTAATAATATTGCTGATTCTTCTTTGGATCTTATCAAGAAGCCCAAGGTAAATAGCAGGTTTCACCGAACCATATGTGGCAGCGATATTTTAAGCATGGAAGAATGATAGACTTATAAATATGTAAGATAGATTCTAGAGAGAAAAAATTGTCTAGCACGACAAAGTGAACCGACTTTCCTAGCAGCTGAGCTAGCAATGGATTCAATATAGTCTTTCCACTTCATGTCAGCTGAGAACATTTGCCAGAGAAGGCGCAACGAGTCACTTTCCTGAGATTAGCATCAGCTATACTGATGGAACGCAGAGAGGGGTCTCTCAATATATATATATATATATATATATATATATATATATATATATATATATATATATATTATAAATTAATTGATTTAAAATATGTTTTTTTTTCGCTACACAGTTCTAACCATGTTTCAAAAATGGAAGCTAAAAGCCTCGAATTTAATTTTGTAATCAAATTAAAGACATTAGTTCCATTTCATCCTCAAGCGAATTTTGGAGTAACTTTTAAAATTACTGGGTTTTAAAGACACAGCTAAAATCATAATTCACGTTTCCAAGGTTACAGATAAATCCACTTCCACTAGACAAGGGGTGTCTGCGTGTTCATTTTGTCTGTATTTTGATGTATATATATTTATATATATATGTGTGTGTGTGTGTGTGTGTGTGTGTGTAAGGTGTGACAGTTTAATTCCTGAAATGACTGCAGTGTGTCGCTGGAAGAATGAGTTAAGTTTTGTATACGAGCGAATGTTGCAACCTCCTCTTTCTTGAGACGTGGGCCAAATGCGTCATTCGTTGCTGAGCAGCAGAGGAAGTTGTACGTGTTCATGTTGTACTGTTGGCCGAAAACTGGTAAAGGGAATCTGGAGCAGAGGATTAGCGGCAAATGTTAAAAAACGTTAGCCCTATTAAAATGGATTCTGGTGAAGTATACTTCAAATCGAGTCAGCGAATAAAGTCAGATGTGGCATGGTGGCGCAAGAAGTGGACATCAACAATATAATAGTAATATTCCAAGAACAGATGTAAATTTTTATTTGGAAGCGCTAAAAGGTTTGTGAGAATCTGTTCGGAGGAAAAGACCCGAATTCTGATCTGACGAATGGATCCTCTGCTTCTGCGCATAATGAGACAGATTTCTTGGCAAATAAATCCATTACAAAAACGTGCTATCCCCTTTATTCAACAAATTTATCTTCCCTTTCCTACATTCTAAACTAGATGGGACCTATACTTAGATGCTGAGAGCTGTACTTAATATCTCCTGGGGACAACATCCAACTAAATCACAACTCTATAAACCCATCGCTGATATTTCTACAATCTTACGCGAACTCGGAATACGCTTTGCAGGAGACTGCTGGCGAGCAAAACAAGTACTTTCAAGTGATCTATTGTTCTGAACACCCAGCCGTGGAGCAAGACGAGTTGGTCGCCCAGCAACCACATACATTGACCAGCTATGTTATGACACAGAATGCCTCCCTAATGACCATCAGACCTTGATACATGACCGTTATGGCTAGCATAATAGACTTATGAATGTCCGAGATAATTCGACCAAATAAATAATGATTTATAGCTATTTTCAAAACTAAAAAATGACCCTGAAAAGATAAAGAATTATTTACATCCAGTAACACATTATTAAAAAGAAAATTCAGAGAGTAGAGTAATGGATAGCGGCTCGGATTGAGGAATCGGAGAGGAATACACTTAGGAAAGGTATGAATCCTGTTATTCTTCCCCCAGCTATGGGTAAATAGCAGAACAGACTGGGTTCTATAGCCTTGGATGACAAAAAGAAATGGCAACTTACTGCGGGAAAATCTACTTCCTCACTCATGTATCGAAAGATACATGATCGCCTAAGCGTGTATCACGCATGGCACATAACTGACTGATTCAGAAAAACGAATTTACAGAAATGGTACCATATTCTAAAGAAGTGCATAGCTTCACAAAGAAGGGCGACTTTGAAAGTGACAGTAGAGGAACATGTATGCAAACTTTTCTTTCACAGGGTAATTAAACTATCATAACTCTTATATACGAGAATTGTTTAATTGTTGTTACATATATTAGTTCGATTTTTTCTAATGTTCTATGAATGATCTCGAAACATTTTTTCTTCTTCATCCTGTGAAACTGTTGTTTAATGTTACTAAAATTTTATTTCAGATTAGACACTCCCCTGACAGCTCTTTGAGATGGAATGCCAAGTAGTCAGGAATGAGCATCTCTTTGCTTTTAATCAAGAATGCCGAAGCTTCTCAAGAAAGTTCTACTGGGTACGAAGATGACTTCATTACCGACAGAATAGCACAGAAATGGTTTACTCGCTTGAAAGAGAGGAAATTCGAACTCACAGACTCTCCGCATTCTGACCGACCTATTCAGTTTGATAAGAACCAATTGCAAGCAATGATTAAAGAACCGTGCCATACCGCCAGGAAATTGGCTCAGAAGATGTCCAGCTCTCATGTTTTTGCTGCTCGTCATCTTCCCTCAATGGGTACGGTTCAGGAACACGCCACATGGGTACCACAATCATTGACCGAGAGGAAAAAAACTCCAACGCTGCTCCATTGTCAGTCCATTCGCGCAACATCAGGGAATACAAAGAAATATTCCTTTACTGTATTGTCACCGGGGATAAACAAAAAAAGGTGCCTTTACGTGAATAGGAAGCAGAGAAAACCCCGAACCAAGCCAGAGCTGCATCCGCGCAAGCGAATGATCTGCGTTTGGTGGGGTTGGCAAGGGCTAATTTACTATGAAATGCTACAAACAACAAAACTAAGCTGTATGTTGAACAAATGAACAGACTCAATCATGCAATTCAGCTGAAAAGACAAAACAATATGATTATCCAGTACGACAATACTCGCCCCCACGTCGCTAACATGACCAAATATGCAACTGAAGAGCTCGGTTGGGAAGTTCTGCTACACCAAACATATTCTCCTGGTTTAGCCCCTTCAGACTACCACCTTGTTTGGTCGGTTTCTAAGAATTTGAAGGGTGTTTCGTTCAGCAACGGTATGGGGGCTTAAAACGTGGCTTGATTAATTTTACGAATCAAAACCTAATGATTTCTATTGCCGAGGCATTAAGCAGCTATTAGATCATTGGCAGGAGGTAGTAAACAATGAAAGGGACTATTTGTTAAATGATTCATCAGAATTATTAATAAATAATAAGTATTAAAATAAATTACAAAAAACAAACGAATTTATGTAACAATCTAATATAACTAATGTATTTTACTGTGTGGTGTCGCTTGTAGTATAATGACAAAATGATTGGGCATTAACAAGAATTAACAAGAATTAAAAACAACTAACAACTAAAATTTGAGGTACAAAGTCATCACAAATATGCTAACAATAACCAAAAAGACTTCGATTTTTGATAACTGAAGATCGAAAATGTTAATGCGGAAATTATGATTGATTGATTCGTTTGTACGGCTTAGCATGTTATTTAGAGTCAAAATATTTTTAAGATTGTAATATTTTTTTTATAGAGGGAGATAGTAATTGTTTAATGATACAAGTTTTACTAATTAATCCATAGCTAGGGAGAGAAGAGGTAGATTTTAACCTTTCCCAATGGCACTCGTGCGTAAGCTAATATAACGAATCCGACTGGAATTGAAACTCGACTCTCAGATTTCCAATTTCGAACCGTCATTCATTACACTACCGCACATCCAAGCTTACAGCACCTGGTATTCCCAAGCGGTCACTCATCTCGGTACTGACCATATTCGACGTTTCTTAACTTCGGTGATCGTACGGGAACCGATGTTTCAACGTGATATGGCCGTAAGCCTACAGAAATTAATCTGTCCGCTAGAAATAAATAATATTAAATTTAATTCATATAACATCTCTGTTATCTAAATAAATATAAGGCAAATTCTGTCTGTCTGTCCGTCTAACTCGAGTCGTACTTGCTCTACATAGACATATTATACCTCTTTGGAAACAGGATGATCCCGGTATTAAAATCTGCCCTTCATCAGGTGTTCGAATATGCAACATTAGGATTTGCGTCCGAATGAGGAGAGATCAGTTAAAAATTCAAATTTTGAAATAACTGAAAAAATTAGTGATTTTAAAGTTTTAAATATTGAGTTTTGTGAATTTAAAAGTTTTTATTTTAAATTCAGTTTAAAATGTCTCCAAAACTTTATTGAATTGAGAAACCAATTTTATTTCTTCAAAATGTCAAGGAATCAGAATTAAAGCGAGCGGTTTCATGACATGTGGTTTTGAAGTTTCGCAGAATTTGTCATTTGAAGAACTCAATTTTCGCCCTGAATTGTAATTTCGGTCGGAATTGAATTTTAGATTCAAACTAGACTTTCAGCCTAAATCGGTCTTCTGGCCAGAATTGATCTTATAGCTCGAATCAGAGTTAAAGAGAGGTTTTGAAGTTCCATGGAGTGAATTGAGGAATTCAGAGTTACTTCTTTAAAATTACTCTTCCTAATTTTCTAAACTGGACCAGAGGTCCCTTTACTTTTGGACCTAGAGGCCCAATTAGCTCACTGCAGTAGCTTTTAAGCTAGTCTTTAATAAAACTTGTTACTATTAATGTTATATTTAGTGACCACATGTGTTTGAGTAGATATACTTGTTCTTTAAACAGTGGCATTAATCTCTACCGGTCTGGTGCGAGAAAGTCTTTACAAAGAAAATGTGCATCCCGACAGAAATCGAACCTGTATTCTCTATCATATCTTGGAAAGTGCTTTCAAGCCAAGTATGCTTTTACCACTTTACGATTAAGGTACGAAAAGACATTACAAAAAAATTAAGGCCCGAATTAAAAAAAAAAGCTCGTTAAGTCCTTATAAAAATAAATAAAACTTGTATAAACGAACATTTGATTTCTCTCTCTCTCTCTCTCTCTCTCTCTCTCTATCTATCTATCTATCTATCTCTCTCTCTCTATCTATCTATCTATCTCTCTATCTCTCTATCTATCTATCTATCTCTCTCTCTATCTCTCTATCTATCTATCTATCTATCTATCTATCTCTCTCTCTCTCTATCTATCTATCTATCTATCTCTCTCTCTCTATCTATCTATCTCTCTCTCTCTCTATCTATCTATCTATCTATCTATCTCTCTATCTATCTATCTATCTATCTATCTATCTCTCTCTCTATCTCTCTCTATCTCTCTCTCTCTATCTATCTATCTATCTATCTCTCTCTCTCTCTCTCTCTCTCTCTATCTATCTATCTATCTCTCTCTCATTCCGTCGATGTATGTTTGTGTTTAGTTTAGCTTGGTATGAACGCATATATAATTTTGCTTGATTCATATTTACGGTGATAGGTGGTTATAGAATGTAATTCTATCCAGAGCCACTATTGTGCTAATATACTTGCGTGTTTAGAGTCGCTTATTTCATTGACAGTTGTCATAATGTCGACGAATATTAATTTCGGTCCCCGCAGAGCAATATTTTAACACATTGAGGTCATCCATTTTTTTCCCTTATCCGTCTGTTGTCTCGACTGCTTACTAAAAACTGACATTTTGAACTCAACTCCTAGAGAGATAGAGAAGGCTATCTAGAAAGATATGAAAAATTCATTTTCAAAGACATTGTGCAGTATCCTAAATCTAACGTCCTATCTCAAGCAGCGCCTAGAAATGTAGATTCTGAGAGCGATGCCATTGTTTACGATGCCCACGCTGTGCAAAACCCTGTACTAGATGTTCTCGGCACTAACTGTAGCACGATTACAATGTACTGCCTGGCCCGTCTGTTGTGCCACTTATCGAAATATTGATTTATGGTGGATATTTCTTTTTAACGTTAGCTTAGTTGATAGTCTTCTTGTCTAAGAATATATCTATGAGATAGAAAACGACAAAAGAAATGAAAGGTAACTCCTTTGTAATTTCGGCTGGTTTTGCGCAGTTTTCTTTTTCTTTCATTCTACCCCTTCCTATTTAACAGCATTCGTCGCCTTCTACTCAAAGTAGCACGAGTCGAAAATAATAAGAAAAAACAGCAACCTCATTTTTACAATTACTTATTGTTTTCTCTCTTTTTCTCGTCTTATTGTTACATTTTTTTTTCTTTTTTATTCCTATAATCTTACCAGAATCAAAATAATACCTTCTGCTTTCTTTTTTTTTCTTTTTGCATTAGTATCGAGCTATCTCAGCCTGTGTAGTGTTTATCTATATGTCTATATTTCAGTTTGTTCATTATCTGTTTAGCTGACTGTCTGGCGATCTCTTTGTTGTCTGTTGCTTTTTATTGTGTTACTACGTTCTTTGTTAATCAAAACCGTCCTAAGAAACTATCACTTTTCTAATATATCTGAAATAATCTGTCTCAAATACTTTACTCTCGGGCCTTTTCCTCTCTCTATTTCGCTTATTCTTTCTCTAACACACTTTTTTGTTCGTTTTGTTATCATATTTGCACTTGCAAAGGAAATAATAATAATAATAATAATAATAATAATAAACCAGCCAGATGCGGTTACAGAGATAGGACCTGTTACAATTCTATGGGACTACACAATACACACAGGCAGAACAATCACAGCTAACCGCCCAGACATTGTTATTAGAGATCACATGCAAAAAAGTCCCTCCTTATTGATATGGCAGTCCCTGCAGACTGTAATATATCATTGGTGATCTTCAAAAAGCTATCAAAATACAAGGACCTTGAAATCGAAATCTCAAAAATGTGGCACATGGGAACATCAACAATCCTCGTTGTAGTTAGAGCCCTCTGATTGGTTGGAAAAGATTCCAGTAGACTAATTGAAGGGATTCCTGGAAGCCCATGCCTTAAAGAAACACAAAAAATTGTTCTCACGAGTACAGCCCACACCTTACGAAGGGCTTTGTCGATGTATTATTATTTTTTTTTGTCAGTGGAAAATGTCATGATGCTATTACTGACCTTAGGTCCCTGGGCGGGATCCGGAAAGAAATGAGTACACATCAGAAATCAAAGGAAATAAAATAATAATAATAATAATGTCACTTCAGAAAATAGGCGATCATGGCTCTCCACAGATTCCTTTATTTTATTGTCTACGAATTGTCATCCATTTTTGGAAAAGGTAGTGGAATTGTTTTCCGTTGACTTCTCTGCGGTTTAAAGTTCAGAGTTTTCCCTTGCTAATGACCTGTCCAATAATTACCTTGTAAAAGGCATGAATCCATCTTTTCTTCTCCCATTTATGGCTTATATAGCAGGATAGACGGACTGTTACAGAAAGTCTAAAAAAAAAAAAAAAACAGTCTGAATTCAAAATCATGAAGAGGCAACGAGAAACAATTCCACTATTTTTCCCGCGAAGCTTTGGCAATTCTCAGATATTAAAGTAAATGAAAATGCAGAAAACCATGATCCATTTGATTGGCAACCAGAAAAAGGGCTATTCTGAATTCCATACCTTGGAGAAGGCAACAGAAAACCACTCCACTATCTTTCCTAAGAAGTCATGGCAATTCAAAGATAATAAAGAAATGGAATCTGTGGAGAGCCATGATCACCTACGTTCTGAAGGTACATGCATTTAAAAAATGATCAACCTACCATGGATTGATATATATATATATATATATATATATATATATATATATATATATATATATATATATATATATATATATATATATATATATATATATATCCATCCATGCATATATAAAGAAGACACATAAAATATCACAAATAATAAAAAGGGCTTATTTTTTACAAGCAAGAATTTAAAACGGATGGATGCAGACGGCCTTTAAGAATTTGATGAGATGTGACAAAATTTTTCATTTTTATAGTTATTTTCCATTTAGCAAGAACAAAAAAAGCCAATAAAACAAAGAAGTGAGTCAAGCAAAAGTCTTGCTACTATTTTTACATTTGCTGAAGTATCAGAAAACCTTTATTCGTCAATGTTTACTCTGTATTAAAAATAAACCTGTACATGTGTTTTCTTTTTATAAAGTGTTCTCATAATTTTTACGGACATGGCTCACTAATGAAAAGAGCGAATAATTTTCAAATAAAATACGTAAAATATATGTCAGCGACACTCGTTTTTAGGCTCCCAGGGGACAGCCCAATATGTAAATTACAAATTGGAGATACCGAAATCAAACAGGTACAACAATTTAAATATCTGTGAAGCGTTTTAACAGCGGGCGAAAAGTGCGTCACTGAAATCTGAAGTCTTACTGGGATAGCGAAAGATGCCTTTCAAAAGCTAATCAAAGTATTAAGAAACAGAAAAATATCGTTAGAAACAAAAAGAAAATGAGTACTGAACTGTTATCAGTCCTCCTATGTGGCAGTGAATACTGGACAATCTCATCACAGATGATTTGGTTTGTTTTTTGTTTTACGGCATATCAACCTCAATGGGTTATTTAATGCCGACAAAATTTTTATTGCTAGTAATATGTTTTTCTTTAAAAATCTATTTTTGGGAATATTTTTTCTTGAAGAAATCTATAGCTGGTCATATTTTTTTTCAATGAAAGTATAAATGTTTGTATTGCTGGAATTTTTTTAAGTATTGCTGATAATAATTTTTCCTACAAAAATTATTGCTGGTAATAATTTTTTTTTATTACAAAGTATTCGTGGTATGAAAAAGCTATTTTTACACAAGTTTAGGTGTTAACTATTTGCCCATAGCTGGGACCCTAACAGTTGCTTTCACCCCAGGTCAGGGTGAACCTGGGAACACTAGCAATTTAAGAGGTGGTTCCATGCTCCTCAAAATCTCCTGATCAGAGGCCTTGCTGCTGGACGTAGTTTATCGTCTTATCCAGGA